GGTCAGGGCAGCCATATAGTGAGAGTCTGGTATCGCATCATCCATCCATCCATCAGCCTTTCTCCGTCCACTGCTGGACATAGGCCTCCCCCATAGAACGCCACAATGCGCGGTCCTGCGCTATCCGCATCCAGCGGCTCCCAGCACATTTGACGATGTCGTCAGTCCACCTTGTTGGGGGCCGCCCCACGCTGCGTCGTCCGGTACGTGGTCGCCACTCGAGGACCTTTCTTACCCAACGGTTGTCAGATCCTCGAGCGATGTGGCCTGCCCATTGCCATTTCAGCGTGCTAACTTTTCGGACTATGTCGTACACACCGGTCCTTCTACGGATCTCCGTATTTCGGATCTTATCACGTAGGGAAACACCGAGCATAGCCCTCTCCATAGCACGCTGCGCGACTCTGAGTTTTGTTATGAGGCCGACATTCAGAGACCACGTCTCAGTCCCATAAGTCATCACTGGTAACACACACTGGTCATAGACCCTTCTTTTCAGGCACTGGGGAATTTTGGCCGTGAGGATGTGCCAAAGCTTCCCGAACGCTGCCCATCCGAGTTGGATTCGTTCGTCCTAGGTAGACATAATGATCGACAACTTCGAGAATCGCATTCCCAACAGATACTGGTGCTGGAGTGACATGGACATTGAACATGACCTTGGTTTTATCTTAGTTCATCCTTAAACCAACTCGTTGGGAAACTCTGCTGAGGTCATTGAGCATTGTGCCAAGGTATCCTAGCCTAAATAAATGGTATCGCAAGCATCTATAAATAAGCTGTAGTAGCCGCATATCATCAGGCGAGCCATAAGCTTGTTTGCCACCAATTCTTACATAAAATAGTAGATTTAAGGGAAATGAAATGAAAAGTCATTTATTCAGTCTAGGCTGTTACAAGCACTTGTGAAGGTCAAGAAGCTACGCCATCGGTTCGCAAAACTACGGCGGGAGACCTTGTATTGAGAAGAACCGGCAAGAAACTCAGCAAGGGCTGCTTTTTTTCTCCCTGTATTGTTATATACAGAGTCGTCAAGTTGAAAAATGACTTCAGAAATACGTCTGAAGTCACCTTCCATTACATCATTTTGAATATAAATATATAGTTACAATAAATTTTATAGTTAACATTATATTTAGTATATAGAAAGCGGCATTAGATATGTACAATATCACTGTTATGAAAAATGAGTAATACCCATTTAATAACAAATTATAAGAAACACTATGTCCATGCATTACGATCATTTAGATAATCATCAACTTTATAATAGCCCTTATTCATAAGAGTATTTTTGATTTGAGATTTAAATTTTAAATTTAGTCAGTGGAAGCTCAATCAGATCAGGAAGAAAAAACTATTTATAAGACAAGTGCGTTTTTAGAATTTAGAGCGGAGCGATGGATTTCACTCATTTTTTATCACTCTCTATGAAAAACCAAAATTCAACTCAAACAAGCAGTTGTAATAACCATTTCATTCTCACTACTTGTGATAGACATACAATACATTCTGACGACGTCGCGACGAAGCCTGTAAAGGCTACGAAACGTCAATAAAATAAATAAAGTTTCGTGCATTAACCCGTAAAAACTAGTTTTATTTATAGACATACAATTTTGTTAAAAAAATTTAAGCATGTAACTGCTTGATGTTTAAATCTAAACAAAATATAACTAGAAAAAAATCCACGCGGACCAGGCGAATGCACTGACCAATTATGCTACCGCAGCCCTGACGGCTGCGTCGAAATTCTTCTAGCCATTCTTAAGCTACAAGGCAGCGCCATTTCTTCGTATTGTAGGTAACCACAACGTCAAATAAATACTTTAACAAGTATTAAATATTTGAAAGAAGAAATAGCAATTATAGTTATAATTTATATTTTTTTTTGTAATAAAGTAACAAAAAGTATTTATTAATCTGGAACAACGGAACCAAAGCGCGATTCAGGAGACTACTGCGCCATCTCTTGACCATTGGTGTCGTAGAACCAAAAACCACATCTTTATTTTTCGTAATAAAGTAACAGTTATAGGTATTCATATTTATAATATTTATCCACATGTTTCTAGTTTGTATATTCGGAATATGTGTTTGAGTTTCATACAAGTGCAAATCACATATGTTCTAATAAATTATATTCAGTAGCGATTTTAATTGAATATTTTGATTATTTATTTATTTTTTCAAATTAAAACTGAACTTTATTGACTGTGTCCTTTTCCAGACTTTTTATTAATTTATTGTAATTAATTATTTGCATGCAATTAAAAACTAATTTTAAACGATGCCAAAGAAGGATAACTTCTCACGCGCCTACATAAGTACACGCACCCATTTTTTTATGCATGTACCTGCTTGATGTTTAAATCTAAAGAAAATATAACTATTAATTACAGAAAATATATATATTTTTTTTCTAGTTATATTTTCTTTAGACTTTTATTTTATTTTAAAATCGTGCTGTTAGTTCTTAATCCAGCTTGTGACTTGTTTATTTATGTTATGTTCTTGATTGATTTCTTTGATGATTGGAATTTTTACTAAGAATATACGCATTTCTAATTGAAATCACTTTTAGTTCCTAGGTATTAAAATGCTATTTTGGTCACAAGGACCAACCAACCAAATTAAAACAAACGTACTGATATCGAATAGATGAGATAAAAAAGATTTACCATAAGTAAATTGCATAACTCACATGGTTATAAAATTAGCATTAAATGGGTACTTTAGAGGCTTGGTGAAAAAAAAAAATATCCATTACATAGCCAGGCAGCCAGATTATTAGGTATCTTCATGGAATCTATTAGGTACATAACCGAAATCAGTAATTCATTTAAAGGTCTTTGTGTTCGATTATACAATAAAGTCTCAAGCAACATCCAAGAGTTAATCATAAATAAATTCCAAAACACCATAAAAAGCACTTCATAATAAAGCTTACTACAAAGTGTCTGATTATCTTACAGACAAAAATGCATGGGTTTGAACTGTTCCAATCATTCCAACAGGTTTTCTATATGAAATATGATTGTAGTAACTTTGACGAGCTCGATGGTTCGGGTAGTAAGCGCGGTCGGCTGCGATCGTTGAAGTTAAGCAGCTTATGCAGTGGTCGGTCATTGGATGGGTGACCAAATATCTTCTATTTCGAGTTCCTCCGTGCTTCGGAAGGTACGTTAAGCAGTTGGTCCCGGCTGCATCTGTAGTCGTTAGCATCCGCCAATCCGCACTGGGCCCGCGTGGTGGGTCAAGGCTCAATCTCCCTATTCCATCCATAGGGAAGGCCTGTGCCTCAGCAGTGGGGACGTTAATAGGCTGATGATAATTGGTGTTGTACCAACATAATGATTTGTAAATGTTGTGGAGTTTTTTCGCTCATTTTTTTCCGGAAGCTTTAAATATGTACGATAACGGATGGTAGGGGATTTTTTTTCGTACGATTCAAAAGTGTTGTACTGTGTGTCCAATTTCAATTAAGAAATTTTGGTTCTGATTTTGATTGGCAGCTAGGTGGGTGACCACTGATGGTGATGGCTGTGGACTTGTTTTATAGTTTAGTTCATACTATTGCTGGAATAGGGGTATCCAATAGCCACCACGCGGTCTCAGAGCCATTTCGTGAGAACAATACTTTTTATGGAACAGGCAGATTGGGCTATGACTCGCCACGCGAGCCAGTGGTAAATAAATGTTTTAATTTCGTTCCAACCGAGTGTCCTACGTCACTCACTTTTTATTGACGTGACAACGTCTTAAATTAGGTTGCGGCTGGGAGTCACTTATGAAAAAGTGTAACGCTCGGTAACGTTACGATGAGTTTAAGTTTACATGTACAATGTTTTAGTAAACAAAATATATTTCTATAGTTAAAATTTGTGCAATTCTTATTTTCATTCAATTCCTTGTTCCTATTGTGCAATTTAATTATATTCATATCAATAAATATTCTACCGAGAAAAAGACGTTGTCACGTAAAATCTTCGCCCGTAAAACTGACTTTACAGGCAACCATTTTTTTTTTAAGTTATATAAAGGATTGGTGTTGATAAATTTTTGGGAATCACAGTTTACTCGGTGTCAGCTAGTTCCATACCAAATTTTATTAAAATCGCTCCAGCCGTTTAGACGTGAAGAAGTAACAAACATCACAAACTTTCGGCTTTATCATATAAAATATTTGTGTGATTTTACCGAAATCTCTTTAAACTTGACAGCTGTCAATATACTGTCGTATATAAACGTACGGCACCAAGTACTGTCGATGACAAAACTATTATCTAATCTACTTTTTATTGGTAAAAGTTTTGAATATTTCTGAATTGTGTCATGTCAAAGAAGACAGTGCTGTTAGATGCATTGTATAATAAGATGCTTGATAGACGATCAGAATTGTGTTTTTTTTATTCATTATAATATTTCATTGGACCTGTTGACGAACAAAGAAACTATTGCTATTGAACCTGCAGCATTTTTATATGTTTCATTGTACAGTAAGATGTAGTTGATCCCCTAGTATTATTCGCAAACAAATGTTGTTGGCATAAAATGTGTACCTACTTTTAGATTTTTTAATATATACGAATTGACCTTAGTGACCATAAATACCTCTGTTTCTTATTTACATATTTGTATTACTTAACGCGAGTCTTTCTGTAATCTTTTTGTTTATTTTTTATGTAAACTAATTGTCCATAATGATAACATAATCGTTACAAAAACTGCTGTTCAATCGTCTTATGTCTAAACTTATCTTTTAAGTATATCAGTTCACAATTTATGACAAAAAAATAATTTTTACATTGTTTACCATCCGAAAATAGCTAAGTCAGCAAACACTTCTTCCGCTGCCTGTACAAGCAACTGCATTAATGCATCGATGCATCCCTCTCAGCAACGTCCACTGTACCGTGAAACTAAGCGCATATAAACGCTTACAGTGGTCTAGATTAAAACACAGTGGCCACATAGCCAACGGCGTGTAAACAGTCACGATGGTACCACACTACCTCTTAATATTAACCCTGGCCGTCGCCGCCAGCGCAAGAACGGCATCCACCAACAAAAACACAATCGAGGAGGCCAGGAGTTCAGAAGACACCGTTCTCGGTGATCTGAGAGTTGCGTACGAAACGTACAGAGAGTGCAGCGGCAGTGATCTCTCGAGCTGCCTCAAAAGGAAGCTAGCGAAGGCCATCAATAAGGTTTCGGAAAGCGACGAAGTAACGTTACTCGGTGGAGTGACAATCACTAAAGATAAGGATGCGAAGATCAACGACGTGGAAGTTGAGGAGGCGATTCCGAGAGGTCTTGATGAGAGCTCGCTGGACAACCTTATCTTGGACAAGATCATTGGATTCATGCAGACTCATACAGTCCAGGTAAGATATTATTAGAATAAGGTGTTGGTCGCAATGGTTTCCTCGCCTTGCCTAAATTTAGTGAACTTGTTACATTTTTACGACAGATGGAAAGAACTTACTAAGAGCCTTAGTGCACCACGTTTTTTAAACGCACCGTCGACGGCGCGCTTTTATCTGACAGAAAAGTTTTTTGTAGTTTGATTCGATACACAAGCGCGTTAGCATCGTGTCTGTATTGCTACACACACGCGTCTGTATCGGTAGAAATGCGCATCGACCGCGCGTTTTAAAAAGCTGGTGTGCTCTAAAACTAACACATATTTATTATCTAATCAGCATTTAGGTTATCTCTTCTCAATTTTAGGCTTCTTCCAAAAACAGATCGAAAGTTAAAAGAGAAATACCAATGACAAAAAAGTATTCATTCGATCAATGTTTTACTAAACTATGCTTGAATAAGTTCTTTTAGTCAACGTTTTAGAAGTAATATATTTTCTAAGGAAAACTCGCATGTTTGCTTATCAACATCGGATTTTACGGCTAGGCAAAATTAATGCGAGAACAGATGAAAGAATAAATGTATAAATACAGTCGGGACTGATTCTACATTTCGCCGACATTAAAAGCTTCTTCAAAAATACGAGACCTCGATAGAATTTGATTCTCGACTGTTACAGCGGGTAAAGTTCCACTACTACCGATACCCAAAATCTTTACCCATACCTGCTTCAATGCATTAATGTTAAAGAAACTCTTTATTCACTTGTCATAACTGCTGAATTAATTTTGAACATCCTTTTATCATATTCATCTTGATCTTCGTAGAATTATAGGCTTTCTTAATGTCCTTGGTTTTGAAAATCTGCAATACGGTATCTACAGAATGGAAGTTCTTTTTAGTATACTGTTAAATACTTGCTGTGGAAAATTTTATTTTTCAACACAAGTGTTCACTGCCTGCTTGGTAGTTAACCTTGGTAAAACCCATAAGTTGAATTGCATAAAAACTTACGTGCACTATGGCACACCTATTGTAAATCCATAAAGTTACATAAGTAATAGTAAGGTAACGCCTTGTTGAAATAACTATCAATGTTAATATTCATAGTATGCTATCAAAATATTCTAGTTACGATGTGTATGAAGATGACTAAAATTTTAAATGGTTAATTAATATCGGTAAATGTACACGGATGAAGAAGGAATATGAATGAACTCTAGAGTATTTTTGCTTTTAAATTAATGAAACGTCATTATTAATAGTTTATCGTTCAACACAAAGAAAAATGTGTATTTATATGAGAAAGCTATTGTTATACGAAATTTTTAGTTATTGTCATTATCTCATTTGAAATAATACACCTCCATCATTTATTATAGTAGCTGCTGACGTGACCGTTTCTAAATGTTATTTTTTGAAGAAATTATGATATTCTACGCCCTCTTGGCTGTATTGATGGTAAAAATCGAATCTCTTGCTATTTTTATTATAATGTCATCATTACTATCTGCTTAATCATGTCCCCACTGCGGCGGCACACACAGACCTATGGTTAAAATGGAAAACTAAACAAAATTGTGGATAGTAATAAATACTGAAGAGGAGTGTGAATATAAAAATGACAAATTTCAAAATTGACATGATTGCCAATTTGGAAACATAAATGGAGAGGTAATAATGCATAGGGTTATTGGGAATTAAAACACCTGCACAAGAATCGAAATCACAATCAAATATTGCCGAACGGCAAATACCCGCTGGCAGATCGCCACTCGAAAACTTGAATCTTAAAGTTCTCGAATGGCAACCAGGATAAAGAAAGAAGACGCAAATGGGTAAAATAAAGTGCAAAGAACTGTATCAGATGGCATTCGTTTATGGAGGTCTATGTCCAGTTATGTATGATAATGATGATGAAGGTTTCCAGAGCCCCACGATATAAGACAATAGGGTCCGTAAGGTTAGGAGTGAATAAAGCGTCATTTTTTTATAACGTATCTACAATCTTGGCTTTATTTACACCTTAAACTTTTAGGCAGAAGGCAGGAACACAGAATGGCTCGCGACGTATGAAACTTAATTTATATATTCAGTCGAGCTAATGCCGAATTGTTGGATAGATCAGAGGACCAGTTGTTTATCACGAGACTTTGCAAATCATCTCCTCTTTTTTTTCTTATTTCGGACGTTATCGCATCTTAATGTCTATTAGGCATGCAATAGGTCGACAGACGAAATTTTCTAGGAAAGTGTATTTTCGATAATTAAATAAGAATGAATCAAAGATCATACAAGAGATGTGAGATATTTTACTTTTCTGTAGCGACTTAGTGTCAAATCTTTTAATTAAATTCTTCGTGTGCAACTCCCATTAGTGCTTGGTCGGTATTTTCTAGAGTCTATTGCGTCTTGGGGTTGGGGTCACTTCATTGTCCGTTGTTCGATCGCTGTTCATCAGAAACCTTCCGTTGCAAATTTTAAAAGTTGATGGTCTTCCATCCCATTTGTCATTAATTTGTATGTTTGTAAACTGAAATATTTATTAGATTGCAAAGCGCGGATCTCTGTTAAGCTTAGCGAGCTTGTTCTAAGTTGGTCAACATTTACTATAACTAATATTTCCTATAATGAGTGCTTCGCATAATTCGCATACTGCTATTTTTTTCATGATTTGCCGCTCACTTTTTTCCGCATAATTACTAACACAGAATTTTCATTTGTCATACCACTGCCCAAAATAGAGTGTAATGTTTTCAGGGTTCATATTTTATGCCTAAAGATGATTCTGGTGTACAAAATTATGAGTTTAAATTTCTGGTAAATAAGTGAATGCGAAATGATTTTGTGCGAAATTAAGTTTATGCTATCCGCTAATGTGTATATTAATATTATGACATTTAAATATCTGCGATAAAAAGTAAACCCAGTAAGCATCCGTCAGGACTAATACCTACATTGTTTTAAAACACAAGAACTCTCTTAACTATTGCATGTAATTAGCTTTTAAGTGTCAAACCCATTAAATAAGTAGGAACTGAATATGGCACCGTCTGAGGTGTGGCTGTAAGGGTGAGGTTTTCACATTTTCAACTCTTAAGCTGCATCATTGTTGTAAATGTAGTGTATTTAATTTTAAACGAATTTGCTCCGCGTTTTCTACATTATGCGAATTTATGTTTTTGCCAATTTAGCATTTCGATCAACTTTGCAATAGATCGAAAGTGCAATCTCACTTCAAGTAGGTTGTTATACTATCATATAAGAAACACCATATAATTTTCTATCGTTACAACAAAAAGATGTACACCTAAGTGTGCATAACTGGAACATTCCATTTGATTTGCTCCGCCGATCCCGTGAGCTTATGGCGTGCACAGTGTATCTGTGTACCGATTTTCTTCCGGATATGTATGTCCGACCGTGCAATGAAAAATGCATAGAAATAATAACAAACGCATGTGTGTAATGAGACACAAAAACTGGTACATACTTACTGCTCGGCGGTGCAGCGTGACCGCTCGCATCGTCCGCTTTCTACCGCCGTGTGTGCATCTTTGTAATTGCATGCAATTAGTTTTCATCTTCACTTTTTTCACAAGTTACAGTCTATTAAGCAGTTTTCTCAGGCCCAACTTGTTCGATAATTGTCTCCATTGCTCGCGATAATGATGCGCTAATGACGATCATGAAATCTTTAACAGATATTTAGACACGAATCTTGAAGATATTGATCGCTTGTGATGATTGATAATGTTAGCAACTTCTTGATTTTGCTAATATCTATAGACTATGACTTCAGTGGAGCGCTATCTTTGTTTTCTACCTTTATTCGATTAAAGAATTCAATATCATTAGCTATTGTAAAGTCATTAACGAATTTGAGGAGCTCAATTGCGCAGTCGGCTAGCACGTTTGGCCTGCGATCGTGAAGGTTAAGCAAATTTTGCATTGGTCTGTCACTGGAAGGCCAAAACTTTATTATTTCGAGCTCCTCCGTGCTTCGGAAGGCACGTTAAGCAATTGGTGCCAGCTGCATCTGCAGATGTTATCAGCCACCAATCCACACTGGGCCCGCGTGATTTAGAAGTTTCATTTGTGTGCCTGTCTATCCAGACATTTTGAGAATGTGGCTAATTGGTATATATATATAATAGTCATTCTATACAGACCATCTGAGAGATGTACGTTTTGCTACATGGACAATTTGATAATAAGGCTTACTGCTCATCAGACGTTTCGCGCTGTTGGACGTTTTGTCACTTACTAAGCATTTTAATTAACACTGTAGGGGTTCGTTTGAAACTTAGACATAGGAACTAATGTTAAAAGGAAATCAAAACAATTGAATTTTATTAATTTTATTAGATGATTATTAACTGTATAAAATTTACTTGAACATTTTTAATGAGAACCGAATACTCAAAAAATAATGTTTGTTTCTTCCGCCTATTTTATTAGCCAGGAAATGTAAAAACTATCATACTTATTTCCTTGGACCATATAATGCGACCTTTGCGTGTCGTTGCACAAAAACCGACCAATCAATGCGTTTTATTCCGCTATACCTTTATTCATGATTTGCTTTTTGTGCATGTTGCTATCGTAATCGTTATCAACATGCACTTGCAGTAATCCTCAATTCTATTTACTTCCTAATTATATCTTCCACTTCACGATTTTTAAAAAGATAATAAGACAAACACGCAATTTAATTCATTATTGTTCATAATTTTCGAACTTTATCTATTTGTCCAATTCTGCTTCTATACATTTCCATAAATTACCATAATCGTCAGCTTTTAAATGTCCCCACTACAGGAACAGATCTTCGCTTTCTCAATCTCCTTATTTCATCCAGACCCATTGTAGATTGGTAATATTGTATACAATCCTCGTTTTAATTGGGAAACCATTTAATAATAATTTTATTAATTGTGTGTACCTTATTTTAGAATTCTGCAGTAGCGGAATGCTAAACAACGATTGACTATCGTCTGTCCATTAACATAGTTAATCTCTGATAACCCAAAATATTAACAGATCTTCGTTCCTTCCAGGTCAAATTCCCGAGCAGCACGGACCTGCAGAGCGCCGAAGGCCGCAGCAGGAGGAAGAAGCTCGCTCCACTCCTGGCCATCCCCCTCCTGATTGGAGGCATGCTGGTGCCCCTGGCCTTCGGAGCGTTGGCGCTGCTCGCTGGGAAAGCGTTGATCGTATCTAAGCTGGCCCTCGTACTGGCTGGTATCATCGGACTCAAGAAGCTGTTGTCCCCGAATGGCGGCGCCGAGGCGCATGAGGTAGTGGTCTCGTCAGCTGGCCACGGAGGCGCTGGATGGAGCAGGTAATTGATTACTACAATCATGTAGAAAGAACGGGATAGTGCCCGTGTAGAACATGTATCGGACGACCAAAAGGACGTAGAACATTCCATGTGCCTTGAAGTTGCAGTGTTTACTAACACCTGAAGTGGTCTTTGTTAGTATATTGATTGCATTAATGTACGAGGATTAGGTTTACTTAGGATCTCTGCGCCGTAACGGTATTTTGATATGATGAACGCTGTACTTAGGGTGAACCTTGTCATATTTAAGTACTCATGATAGCTGGTATCATCGAACTGAAAAAGCAGTTGTCCTGACTATGAGATGGTTGTATCGTCTGTAAGATTGCTTACAGACGATACAACCATCTCATAGTCATGTTCGCGATAGATCGGGCATATTAACATTTGACTTTTTCTTTAAGGATAGATTTTGTTCGGGATTGATGAAGTTATTCTCAATTTGATGACCAAACATGTATTGTATTACTTTGTGTTCCATCGTGCGGCGGATGATCTAGGTCAATAGATAAGATAATCCCGCCTGCATTTGTAGTTGTTATCTCCTGCTCTTTGGCTGCTGTAGCTGTAGGTTTATTATTAGGATAATAATGAAGTTTGATAATATCTTCAGGTCTACAAAATCTAAAGTTATAGTTACAGTAATTATAATTTTTTGGGTAACTTTTTAGGAAAAGTGCGAGTAAAAATAAAAATATACCGACAATTTCACAGGCAATAGCTAATTTCACCAAACGAGATTTTCCTTTCGTGGTCTGACAAATTAGAATGTTCTACTACACAAGTCATGGTTAAGCACTACCAATTAAAGTAATGAGATTAAATACCTGTCTTCTGATACCCGTGACTTTGTCGCGAAAGCCGCTCTCAAGCTACGTGCCTTGAAATTAACTACATCCGGACGATGAGAAAATATGGTTAAATAGAATATAGTCAACTATAGAAATTAGGCAACATTCAGATGTTGATCAAACTGTTACAGCTTGTGATGGGCTAGTAATATTGAATCATCGTCATCATCAGCCTATAATGACTTAACTGCTAACTGGGGCACAGGCCTTCACTTTAGATGAACTAGGGTGAATAGTCCTTACATGACCCACTAACAACTGCAGATGCAGCCAAGACTGACTATGATTATGATGATATTAATATACTGTCAAAACCAAAACATTGACGTTTACTAGACCCCAAACCCAGTAACTTGAACACGTAAAACCATGGACTTACGTTTAACCATTTACAATAGTCCTTACTTAACCCACTAACTATGATGGACCTAATAATTATAATGATATTAATATACTGTCGAAACCAAAACATTGAAGTTTGCTAGACCCCAAACGCAGTAACTTGAACACGTAAAACCAAGGACCTACGTTTAATCATTTAGAATATGGTCCTAGAATTTCACTTTGGCGTAGAAACTTTTTGGTTCAATAGTGATAAGGAATTCATAATATCATAATTTGGCCAGATGAATTAACAACGCAACCGATTTGTATTGTTGTGAAACGACAATGAGTCTGATTATATTAAGCTTAGTGTAAAACGTTTCACGTTCAACAATATGGCTAGCCGTAATGTAATAATGTGAATTATTAGCCGCTGCCTTGAGAGTTTTTGTATTGTTTGTTTTTCAAGTTTAAATGATAGCAGTCATGCTTATCGCCCGCCTATAAGACGCTAGCGGTATCAAAGTATTTTTGGATTTTTGCCTACCCTGACATTATCTCGTACCCCGTGGAGCCCTCAGAATTTTTACCACTCGCGACACTGTCTTTCCCAGGAACAACAATGGTATCTAAAACATATAGTTTTTATTTTATTATTAATACCTTATGTTTAATATCTAAGGTCCTACTAAAATTAAATTTAGCCCAAAGAAAAATGTCAAATGAGCTAAATCTTATTTTAGTTAAATTGAAATTTAGCAAAGTCGCTGCTGGGCCTGAGAAGTTAAAATACATATCATTTTCTTTTGTCAATATATTCCCTTTAAATTGTGAATTTATTACATTGCAGCTAAACGTGCAACGACGATCCGGCTAATTGTCGTCCCGTAGAAATACGAAACGGCTCCGTTTATCAAATCGACTAGACGGTATGTACTTTTCTTTCTAATTTTCGATCAGCAAAACCACATTACTGCACTGTTCTCTAAACTTCTTCATGGGTCAAGAGATTTCTCAGAGATGTTTAATTCTTTGTAATAAACCTAACTTCATTGGGACTTCAACTTTAAATCGAAGCCATCTCTTCTCGCGCTTCTCTTCAATTTGTATGTCAGCGATAAGACTGTCAGACTATTTAATGTTAAAAAGTCTGACAAATAAACGTGTGTCCTGCCTGACGGAAAGCGGCTTCTATAACGACAAGACGCTTGTGGTATGAAGCAGCATATCGGATTAGTCGCTCCAATTAGAGTGTCTTTCTGGAGAAGTAAAATAGCACTAACTTTTGCTGGTGTTGTGTTTCTGTCGGTAATGTTTCTGGGCTCCACGGGATAGAGGATTGGGGCAGGACAGGCAGCGGTTTGAGTGATATTTTTTGTGTCGTAATCGTCTATTGGCTATGGTAGCCTCTTACCACCAGGCGACCATTTGCTTGCCTGCCACTCTTTTAACATAATAAAAAAACAAAATACAGTATCTCTAGCCCATTGCCTACCCTGACTCCATCGAAACCTAATTTAGTGTCGCCGCACACGGGCCACCGACCACAACCACAAAACGCCGCCGACGGCATATTTCTTGTAGTTTTCATACATTGTATATGGACTCGCCACACACGGTACGCCGTTGGGCGCCACGCGCTACAAATCGTCGTTGCTCGCTTCTTGTGACCCGCACCGGCCACTTAATGCGCCGATACAAAACGCCGCCACACGACACTCGCGCGATTCCCCACCCCTCTCTCCCTTACGTAAGTCAGCCGCTGTCGCGCGCTTCAGCCACTTTAGTAGCCGCTTCTAGCTTCTCGTGGCGGCGTTTGTGGCTGTGGCGTGTGGCCCGTGTGCGGCGACACTTATGCCGCAATTACATTTGGTCGCTAGCCCGTATCCGCGTAAACGTAAGACATTACTCGAATTCACGGCACCCGAGGTAATATTTCCACTGGAATACAGGCTGGAGGAGGGTGTTGGGTAAACAAAAGGAAATCTACCCGAATACAGGAGTACTTGACTCATCATTTACACTAAATCGTTTACCCAAATACCATTGGCACTCGTATTAGAGCTAACGAACAAGTGCAATCGCGCCATTACTCTGGGTATAAATACAAAGTGGCGTGTTATTACTAATGTTAGGCCCACTTACACCGTCGTGGTAGAATCCCTAACGAGGACCCCGCGGCTTCGCATTAAGCAGTGTAGAAGGTATTCTCAGGACTTTTTTTTAGTGGATATTATGCTGTAAAGCGCCCGTAAGAGTTGTGGGGTCCTCGGTGGTCAGCCACTGGGGGGTCCGTAAGACTTGCTGGAGCCAGGAGCGAGGTCCGGTCGGCGGCCTCCTAAAGGCGCCGTCGTCTGTAAAAAGATTGTTTACCTGCGTTATAAAAAAAGGCCCACTTACAATATATCTTTTCGTTTTTTGTCAATTCATCAACATCATCATCAGCCTATTAAGGTCCCCACTGCTGGGGCACAGGCTTTCCCTTTGGGTGGAATAGGGAGATGGGTCCATGACTCACCACGCGAGCCCTGTGCGGATTAGCGGGTGCTAACGACTGCAGATGCAGCCGGGACCAAACGGCTTAAAGTGCTTTCCGAAGCACGGAGGAACTCGAGATAGAAGATCTTTGGTTACCCATCCAAAGACCGACCACTGCGAAAGTTGCTTAACTTCAACGATCGCAGCCGAACACGCTCACCACCTGCACCATAGAGCTCCTCAATTTTGACAATTATTTGTAATCAAATAGAAAATGAGTTTAAACATGACAGCTATTAATTAGGAACTTTGGTGGTTTGCTTTTTTGTCGATATATTTTTTGTCAATGAAAATAAAAGGTTGTTCAATCCAAATATCATTGTGTATGTGTGGTTCAAACGCTTTGTGTAATGTTTATTTTGTATTTCTAAAGTAACATTTTATGATTAAAAAAAATTACTTCTGCAACTTTCAAATCATGCGAAATCCCAAATAGTCCAGTCAACAAGTTCAAAAACGTGAAAAATAGAGATAAAGCTCCTAAAAATATGAGCAATAGCTCATTGGATTCGTAACGACCTCTAGAAAAATGAGTTTTGAGGATTTTACTGCACGTAAAAAATTGCAATTGTTATTAACAAAATAAGATGAAAAAAAAGAGGTATTTACGTTTTTGTTAATAATTCATAAACTATTAATATTTATGATATTTGGAAAAAAGGTCCTTAAAGAGGAGGAAATTTACGAAATAAAAGTCCCAGCTCCCGGAACTCTACCTCTATTATTTATAATTTTAATTTAACGCTGAAAATAGGGCTCCGCGCAGCCATTACGGCATGGGCGCACTGCCGTTAAAGACAGTTTCTTACATAAAATTATTTTTTTATAGTAACAAATATGAATTTAAAAATTTAAATAAATTATGGTGTCATCCAGATACTTGAAAGAATATATTCCCGTTGGAAATTTTTTTTTAAATTAATTTTTCAAAAAGTTATGCAATTGTTAATTAACGAATTTTTTTCCTATCTCCGTTTTCATAAATGACGACATAAAAATTTAAATAATAAACCTATAAATTTTTGGCTCTGTGGAGCTCTTCTTATATATATACTTAACAAGATCCCGCGATAAAAGTTTATTAAAGTTAATTATTTTGTTTATAACAATTTTTTAAAGTTAACAAAAAATGAAAAGTCTAAGAAATGTTATTAAAAAAAATTTTTTAAACAAATGTTATATTATTGCTGCTTTCTTATCCAACAATGGCATTAGGTAACATCGGAAAAAAAATTTTTACATCATTTGTTAAGAAATTGTTTATAAACAAATAGACAAGTTTAATATTTAA